CCAAAGTTCTAAAAAGCAAATGAAAGTGCTCACTAAATTCTCAGTAAATGCAGTGGAAGACAGGTCTGGTCCATGGACTCACCCTACAGTTCTCTCTCTGCATTCTGGCACCAGAACAGAGGTGCAGAGTTATTTGGGAGGGCAATACTCACCGTTATAGAATTGCTGAGCTGTTTGACCTTCTGCTCTAGTTGTTCTCTTTCCTGTTTTAAATCTGAACTCCATTTAAGTAGTTTCTGTTTTTCCTCTTCTTTTGCTGCAAAACAAAATATTAATCAGAATATTTAAAATGTTCCTGTTATAGCAGTGGATAGAGGCTCTAAACTGCTTCATGTAAAGATAGTAATTGAGTTTAAAATCAATTCAACAAGTTGTGCACTAAATCACACACAATACCTACATACACAAGCATCACAGAAGCCTTAATAATATTTAGGCTGCTATTTTCACTTCACTACTGATTAAGGTTCTTCCCCTTTAATTTCCTTTTGTAAAGGAAGTACCATTCAATCCCATTCTCAAAATAACATCTTCCATTGTTAAAAGTGAAACAAAAGTGTTGTTCTCCATTTTCCTACCTGCTTTATATGCAATATATGAATGAACAATTGCTAAAGTTCCTGGCCATGGGATTGCTTCTTCCTTCTTTAGCATCTGAAAGAAAAATGTTTAGAGATTTAGCTGGTACAGAACTAACTCTAAGAAAGCAAAAAGGGGAAAAGGAATGATTGATGATTTTCTTTTATGGATATCATTAGTCTTAGCCCTGTTAACATGGAACTTTGCAGACCTGTTCTGAGATTTAACAGAGGGAATTATTCACAACTGTATTGTGGCTCCCAGAAAGCAGGCTTGTCTCTTACAAATGTCAGCATTTTCTTGTGTGGCCACAAATAAAGTCTACTAATGAAACCTAACAACTTAAAAGAGGTATGAAAATATAATATATCTGAACTCAAACTTGCCAGGAGACATAAACATTATTTCATGGTTCAGACAAATTGCTGATCTTACTTGTTCTGGGGGAAAAGCTTTCATGGTACAGAGCAGTCTCCACACCATACAATCAAACAGCACACTTCCTGGCTAGAATAGAACACGAAACCATCCCATCTCCTTATCAGAATCATCTCAGTAGAGTTGTCAAACTCTCTTGATAAGGGTATGACAAAGCACCATTTATGTCTATCAGATGTTTCCCACATACTCCTTCCTAATAAATTATTTTGAGAGGAAAGACACATATTTTTAATAAGTGAATCAGAGTGGTGTATTAGAAGATAGAGGACTTGGTCACCTTATAGTGAAATAACTCAGATTTGCCCCCCATAATTTTATGGGAATCTATCACAGAAATATGAAGAGGAGGGAATCAGGCTGCTGATTAACAGCAATCCTTTGCAACTTCTGGAGTTCAATGTAAGGGTTAGCAATACAATAGTTTACTTCTTTGTCTTGCAATGTCAATGCAATTATAAACAAAATATGAAAATATAATCAATTCACTTCAATTGGTGTACTTTCAGAAAGGGGTCTGGAAGGAAGAACGACACCAAACTGTTCACCTAACCTCATTATCCTGATGCTGGATGATATTATTAAAGAGATCACTGCAGACAACCTCTCTGATGTTTGATTTATATGAGCAAACAGGGGCTTATATTTGCACTACCTATTGAGATAGGCTTGTGCAAATGTTTTATTTATTTGTCCAGAAGAATATACTAATAACTTTCGAAGAAATAACGAGCTTAAGATGAACAGCAAAGTTTCTGTGGGTCATAGAGAACCTTTCCCAAAAGTTTGTGTCCTTTGGTCCACAAAAATAATAAAAACACAAGGGTAACAAATAAAGACCCCAAATGTGGGAGCAAGACCTCACAGTTTTGTATTTGCATGCATTCCAATGGAGGTAATTTGATCAAATTCACACATGCCTTATTACAGATCAAATAGATTTGCTCAGTGTCAGGCTACCTTGATCTAAATAAAACAAGTTATCTGGTTATTTTCTTTAACATGGGAAAAATCTTTACAGTGCACTGTATGTAACTCTCCCTGTCTGCAAAACAATACCTGGTCTTGACACTTGGGACAGATCCACATGCCCTTGGGAATGGTTTTCAGAGGTGGGTCCAGACAGTCCAGGTGATAAACACGTGAACATGTGTCACACATCAGCAACTGTCCACTTTTTCTGCAAACACTGCAAAAATCCTCATGGATATCGCCCTATAAAATTGAGGGGAAGGGGTGTGGGTGAGAGAGAGAGAGAGAGAGAGAGAGAGAAGGCAAAAAGTGAACTTTGACCTTTGGCATCTACATCCCAGTTGAATGCAAAGTTTACAGCACGAACTATTTCTGAGGGTATTCCAAATGATCGAGCCCTTTTTAGGATGTGAAACAGGAAAACCGAGCAGGATGTCAGAAACACTGACACCTGTCTCCCAAACACTCCCACTGTTCTCCCAAGGCAAAATATTAACAGCAAACGCTTATCACCAGAGCTTCTCTTAACAACTGCTACCCCACAGCCTCTCTTCTTTAAGGTTCCCCTTTACCCTGCTTTTTTTTGGGTTTTTTTTTCCTAAAATGATGAGCTACCCACTTTCTTAACCCTTCTCATTTCTGGATGTAAGCACAACTCCACTTCAGGAATGCTGATAAGGCTGTCTCTTGCCAGTAACAGTGTGTAAGAAACCCCATTTGAGTGACTTAAAAGAACGCTGTCAAATATTTAGGTCACCTTTAAAAATGAAACTGGAAGGAAAAGGTGTTGTGCTTGTAAATGAAACAGAACAGAACGAATTATGTTCTGAGACAATTTTTTTTTTACTTCACTTAGGTTACCTCAAATTGCACAAAAAAAGCTGTGACTCAAAATTTTCTCATTCTCGATAGAGAGTGGTTTATGTTTCATCACTAACGTAGGCTGAGAGCCAGGATGAGGGAATACCAAGACAGATTTTCTAACTAAGGGGGTTTTTTTTGAAGAAAGAATTGAAAACATTACTGGCAGCATCTCTTAAAAAAACTAGGCTTAGTTACTATTGCATCACCATCAGAGAGAATTTTTTTCTACAGCTATTAACTCCCCAGAAAGGTAGGTCTGATTTTTGTCACTTTTTCTTCTGTCTCTCTCCTCCTGTTACTCCCGTCTCATGCCCTCTTCTCTCACTGCCTGTGGGCTGTCCTGGCAACTTGACAAATTCAAGGCCACACCTGGAGACCGAAATACACACTTCTCACTGACTTCAGTTAAAGTTTCACACACACCAGATCTTAAGATGTGTGTGTTGAGTCAAACTGCATGTAGACACTCCCCCCGTATGAAATATCAACGTGGGCAGTTTCATTTTGACCTGTACAGTCTTTTCACATGCATGAGTAAGGCCTATTGATTTGGAGGGAGAGCAGACTTGGCTGCACACTCACACATTAAGTTGCCAGGCAAGAAAAATTACACTAATCTCTACTGCAGATAAAATATTAAACATATTAGAAGAATGACACACAAGCAATCTGCTCGGGTTTCTACTCTCCATCACTATTGCTGATGAGGCCTTTCTTTGAAGGGAGGGCTGTTCTTCTCTTAATTCCCAGCACTAGCACTGATGTCATAGTACCATAGAATGGTTTGGGTTGGAAGGGACCTTAAAGCTGATCCAGTTCCAACCCCCCTGCCATCAGCAGGGACACCTTCCACTAGACCAGGTTGCTCAAAGCCTCATCCAGCCTGACCTTGAACACTTCCAGGGAGGAGCAGCCACAGCTTCTCTGGGCAACCTGTTCCAGTGTCTGACCACCCTCACAGTGAAGAACTTCTTCCTAATATCTAGTCTGTTTTGTAAAGGATCAACCTTTAGTGAATTTTCAGTGCCATGTTTTGGGTCTGATCCCAAAGATCCCCGAGACCATTGAGAGCTGAGTTATGGTATTATTTCATCCTTTAACACCAAAGAGTTCCTCAGTGTTAAGTGAAGAATTAAATGAGTGACATTTCATGAGTGACAGACTTGAACCATCACTAGAATATAGAGATTTTTGCACTGTTCTTACTGCTGAGTAATTGACTGTGAAAGGGAATTGCTATCTTCCAGGTGAATATGCCACTACTGCACGGGGGAGAATCACACATAACCAAGTGGTTCACAGCCAATTGCCAAATAGGAAAAAAGAAAAAAAAAAAAAAAAAGATAAAAAAGAGAGAAGTTTTGCTCCATCTACCACATTACTTCCTTCCTTTTCCCAAGATCTATTCCTGCTTCTACCCCTCCATCCTTACAACCAATCCCATCTCAAGTTCCTGCTTCATCCTCCCTTCAAAACGTATCCCTGTCATCCAGAGAACGACAACTGAGGAGAAAGACAAGGTGGACATTCTGGGCCATGGTGCCCAGTACCAAGTGCTTGGCATGATTTGTAATTTTCATAGGTTGGCTAAAGACAAAGATTTAATTTGGCATTCAAGTGCAAAATACCAAATTTCTATTCTAAAGCCTATAGGAATTAGACCATTTGAGCAAATTCATGCAAAAATATTTTAAAGATGGGCAAAACTGCAGTTTTCTTCTGTATCTGTCTGAGGAACTGCTCAATTGTTTTAACTGAAACTTCTGAAATAGCTTTTTACTTAGGCATGCACTTGTTATGCTTTCATTTTTAAGTCCCCAAAAGCTGGAGGCTGTAACTATAGACATTTTCTGTCCTATCTCGAATAAAGAGACCCTTTACTTTATACTCACGTCATGTGCTAACATGTATATGGAATTCAATACCAAGTATTTCTGAAAAGTCTACCAAATTAGCCCAACTGATGGCGAATATGCATTGAATGGGACTTTGGGATAAAATTCTTTCAAAAAATTAAACCCACAAAAATGTTAGTGTTGTTGCATATGTATAAACTAAATGACTTGTCTGGAAACATGTTAAAGGAGATTTATATAAGATTCTAAAGGAGAAAGAGTGCTACAGTGCCATATTATAATATGCTCAGGTAAGAGAGAATGTTAATCACTCTCTGTGTAATCTTCCACTGTCTCTTTGAAGGTACTTCTATTTCCATTAATTAATGAATAGTAAAGCAATCCAGAACCTAGGCCTAAATACTATTCAAATTCAGAAAGTTCAGGGCATTCAGAACTAGATTTGAATGCTACAGAAATTCATTATTCTTGATTCAGCCTGCTGCCACCAGGCACTGCAGAAAACAGGGCAGCAACTCAACATACTGATTTGAGAGTTCTCACACAGCGGGAAAAGGCTCGGCAGCATACGCATACGAGTCCGAGATGGAAAATCCCCCCACCACACTATCCACCACACTATCCAGTCTTTCTCTGGATGTAAAAAATGTTTGCTAGTTGTTTGTACTGCTAACTTTTAAAAGTCCCCAGAGATGGAGCTGTCCCACCTTCTCCCTGAGGGGCTGTTCCACAGTCCCATTCATTCATTCGACTGTCAGGAAATGGTTTTTACAGTCAAGTGCTATTCTGCTCTCAAAAGTGACTGTATAAAAGAGAACCTTTTAATTTCACATACATATTCCCTGGGTACCAGAATTGCATCTGTTTATTTCAGTGACTCAGACACACTTGTACTATTTCTATTCCCGTTACCTCTGCAGAACAAATACATTTCAGAGGCAAGAAGGTGGCTTCTATTCCCTAATATATATGGCCAGTAGAGCTGGTCTCTCAGCCTATGTACTTACAGTGGTGCAATTGCATAGATGAAAATAAAGTGGCCCAACTCTTCCTTAAAGCCCATTTCAAATAGTTGGGCCTCAATTATATGTCATAATATGTTTTTTTTTTTTAAAAAAAGAGACTGCTGTGACTCAGATGGCAGAAGGAGCTTGCAGCACTGGTATGAAGAAATAAGCAAGCATAGTTTTATTTTTAAACTGTGCCCAATGAGTACTAGTCATTAAAATGCACTTTACTGGAAGTACACTACAACTCCAGAGAATTTTGGTGCAATTAATTGTTTCACCCTTACTGAATAGTCACAGTACACTTTCAAACAAACCATAGTGTACATTCCCTTCATTATGTCATTTTGGACCTACACAGCCCCTCAGTCCAATTCTTCCCACACTGTTTTTCTTCTACAGTTTATGCATGACTTTTATTTTTTTTTCATCTTGTTTTTGCAAGAAATAGAAACAATGAAATAACTGGATAGTCCTCAGCAATTTAAGATAGTTGTGCTTTGGGTAGCAAATCTTATATTTGAAATAACTTAAATTAAGGACACTCAGTTCTTCATGAATTATAACAAAATGACTAGGTTTCACTCAAGACAGATTTTGTGATCTGACCGCAGGGGTGATGTATTTAGCGAGGTCAGTACACCAGCAGTGAGTGCTGTGAACGCTCCTTCTGGCTGTCCTGGGCTATTCAAGTGGTTTCCTTCTTTCTCTCATTACAAAAGCACCCCAACTTTTTGTTATTATGGTCTATAAGTAATACTTTTCATTCGCCCCTTCCCCCTTTTTCATGGATGACAGATTCAATTCAGTCAGACAAGATCTCAGACACTGTACAAAGGAAATGAGCTCATCTAGCATGCCTGGTGCCTCCCAATGTTTCAATCCACTGAAGGAGTTCTAAATAAAATCCTTACAGGATAAGAACATAGGTACAGGAGGAAAAAGGAAGGGTGTTAAAAAAAACGCTGGACAGTTTCACTGCACTGAATCAGGACAAATGATGAGTGAGACTAAAGAAACAAAATCTGCAATGATTTTCCTTGTTGCTGTTTCTGAGTATCTTTCTAAAAGTGACCCCCTCCCCAAGAGTTACTTACGTCTGTGGAGCTGGGGCTAGGCAGGGACACAGGCTGAACAGCTGCGGGGAAAGTAAATGTGGTCTCTGTCTTTTCATTTTCAGGGGAGTCAGGATAACTGGACAGAGGGGACGTGGGGGTCAAAGCCCCGAACCCCAGCACCGTGTTGTATTTAGGTGGACGACCTACATATTAACAACAGGGAACACAAAAAAAAAAAAAAAAAGAAAAAAAAAAGGAAAAATGATCTTACATACCTTTGGCCAGTGGTCCTCATTGGCTAGCGTGAAAAAGGAAATGATGTAGCACAGAGAGGAAGTTAATATAAAAGTTACAAGTGGAAGGACAGAAGCAAAGATTTAAACATTTTTTAGAAATCTTTAAATAGAATTTTGCAAGGAAAGAACATTTAAAAGATGTATTTTAGAAGGAAATAGAAATAAGCTCTATAGAGGGTCAAAGAATTGCTCCCACAAAAGCAGGGGGGGGATACTTGCCACCCCTAGAAATGAGGCTATTCAGCTTTTAGGGAAAACGTGTTGGCATCAAAGCTAGAGAGAAGCTACAATAACTGCTATGAAATCCTTTCTACTGCTATCCCACACCTCCCTATCTTTCTATTGCCAGCATAAATTTATACAAAGGTTAAGTCCTTTATCAGAGGCCAACACTCACCAACCCCCCTCCTTTCCTTCCCCTTTTGTTAAGCCCACTCACCCACAGATCAGCACTTTCCACCCTACTAGTACATTTTTTACATTAGGCTACCACAAGAACAGGTCCTGTTGTCTGACCCGTAACACCAGCACTACCAGTTCTAACCTACCACTGGTCTTCCACTGTAACCCTCCCCAAATTCAGTATTCTTTCTCAGTTAAGTATGTTTGATTATGCACAACTCCAATATGCCTCTTTAGACTAGCAGAAGCTCAAAATGTGTTTGCATTACGTATGCAAAGCAAGACAGCAAAAAAAGAGGATGTAACCATCATTTCTGCCTCTCTTCTCCAGAGTAATTTATGGATATGTAAACATAAAGGAGTTAGGATCTAGGAATAATTCCCCAGATCTTATGTTTACAGATTGTCAGTCTATACCTATTAACATGCTAAACCTTGCATTTAAGGTCTGGATATGTTCCAGAACTAAGTATGTCCTTGGAAACGGATTTCTGATAGTGATGTCCATGGCTGAAATTTCTGACGCGCTCAGCACCATCTAGAATTAAACTAAAGCTCTCAAGGGCACATGCTTGCATAAGCTTTTCACCTAATATACTGCCATACTAAATCACAAAACAAATGTACACATCCAAATCTTTTGTCAATTGAAAATGTGTTCTACTAATTTGGTGCTGATGCAAGGTACAGGCTCACAACAGGGTGTGAGAAAAAAAAAGGAAGTATAATAGCAGTCAGTGTGCAAAAACAGGCTAAGAGAATATCAAGCACAAAGGCATGCAATCGTTTTCATTGATACAGTAATTGCTCACAATGAGATATAAAATAGAATTAGGAAATCATTACTAGAAGAAGGAACATTTACTTATTCACAGAGTAAATGCAAAACTCTCTCTATAAAATCTACATAATGTAATTTTAAAAAAATAAGTTTAATGTTATTAGAGGATGCCAGTAGAGACTGATGTCTTTTATTTAGAAACAGCATAGCTGCAGAAGTGTCAGCTTTGCCACACTGCCTGCTGGACTGAAGAGGTATATCAAGGAGAGCATATGTCAAATGAATATTTGACCTTGCAGTCAAAAACCAAATCTAATGAAACTGGTCAGTGCTAGGTAGGACTGTGGGTTTTTTAATCTGATGGATTACTTGTTTTTTTCGACAGCAAAATCAGGAGTAGAGAAGGTATTATTAGTCTCTAAGGACTGCAGAAAGTAAGTCAACAAAAATCAGGGAAAGATTGTCATATATGTGTGGTTGATGCCATGCACAAAAAAATGGTATCATGTTCTCTCCTATGCTGTTCTGACTCGTCTGTTTCATTGTAATCTAAGTCTTAAAATTTCACCTGTTCTACAGAAGGATATCTACTGAATAATACCACACACCTATATGAAAGATCATCTCTCATTTTAGGACAAGTGGTACTCTGGTTGCAGAAAAGTGCTCGGTATGAGCACGACAGCCTTTCTTGCTCATGACAAATTCTTTTGAAGGGCCCACCTCTACTCCCAGTGGGGAACAAAGCTTTTGTCACACTAAGTTTCCTCTCCTGTTCAGGGCACAGACACCTTTTCCATAACCACCTTCTTCTTGACAGTAACAATACAATTTAGTTATCAACAAGAGGATCTTGACAGCAGCTTTATACCACTAAATGATGTTCAAACATCTCACCTTTCACTTTGCTCTATCTATTGTGTTTTTTGGTTTTGGCAAGTGAAACTGAAATGAAAAATTGAACTGCCTAATAAAACCTGCTATGTTAATCCCTAGAAGTCATGATCTTTGTCTATCATGGAAATTTACTGGTCAAAGGAAGTAGTGTAGAGTCCTTCTTTGTCTTGCTCTTCAAATCAACAAGGGGTTGTAAATGCAAGATGGAGGAAGAGGCATACAGCAGGGAGACAGGTCTAAGAACACCTCACCTCTTTTACGTGTCCCGGGATGCATTGTGCTGTTCAGGTATGTGACTGCACTCTTCTTGCGCTGCAGGGAAGAATACAACAATATTTATTGACTAACATTTTTGGCAACAACTATATGCAACATCTGAGGAACAGCACAGTGGTACTAAGTGAGATTACTGTCTGTTGTGTCTTCTGAAGCACAGCTCCTAATAGATTAGCTTTTTTACACTACTTCTGACATCTGGACTGCTTCAGGATGATATGCAAGCTGACCTAACAGTAAGACTAACACACACTGCCATTTAACATCAGCTTTACGTACGAGCAGGCAGAAAAAGACATAAGTATTAGAAGAACATCCCAATGTATTTACTATTTAAAAATCTGAGGGTCATATCATTGCAATGGCCTTTTGAATTATAAATGATAGCTTGCCTGTCTAGTTAGAACTGAGATAGCTTAGGAGGTAGCAACATGGCAGAAAGACATACAACCTCAGAATGAAAATACCAGCTTCCCCCAGCAAAAAAATTAATACCTCAGGCTCAAAAACGGCTCCACTGTACACTGGATTTGCTGTTGTTCTTCGTTTCCTCTCTTGTCGCTTACTTTGGATTTCTTGTAAAACAAAGCATTCAGGTTAGAAAACAATGGGTCTCAGAAATTATACACAGTCCTCAGAATTCAGTTTGCATGTAAGGAGAGCTGTGAAGATTTTTACAGAACACCAATCATGCTGAATATAGGCAACTCTGTTATACTTCTAATTTCTGAAGGTTTGAAAACTAAGAGCTGACAAGGAATACAAATACAGTGCTCAACTAACTAATGAAATGACAGCCATCTTCTCACCAAGTACTCCATGACTAAGGCATTTTAAATGGTCAGTGTAATTGGGATGTAAAATGAAAAGTCTCTGGTAACCTTGTTGATACTTAAAAAATAAAAGCAGTACAGAAATATGCAAACCATTGAAATCTTAGGCTGTATTTCACTGTATAGGATTAAGGAGTTTAAATTATAAACCCAATTACAATCATTTAACTCATTCACCACACATTACAGTTCCATGAAATCATGAAATGCATGAAAAATTGAGATGTGGGTTACAGTAAAATTATCCACGGTGTAACTGTGCAGATACAGGGGTTGTTCAGAAAGCAATGGGATTTTCACAAATTTCCTTCCTACCATCAGAGCATATGCCTTCATCCCAACCACTGATCTCAGCTGCATAAGCAACTGCTTTGTTTCAGTGTAATAAGAGGAATAAAAAAGTATGCAAAATAGTTAAACTAAGTTAGATCAAGAGTACAAACATCTCAAATGTACTTATGAGCAAGAAAATACTGTGTTTAATACAGATATATTTTGGACCTGTGCTTCCAATTCAGAATGGCCATGAAACAAGAGAGCTCAAGAAACAACTTAAGACATTTTTCCTACCTTCCAGATGGTCATGAGTAACTAGTCCTAGAGACACCATGAAGGCAAGTTTCTGTGAGGGGGGAGAAAAAAAGATCACGACAAGTCGAACCGTTAGGATGAGCTATGTCACTTAGGCCCTTTAAAGTCAGTTCACAGGTAACTAAGCAACAAAAATATTATTAGTAATACTTTGCTTCTAAAAATCACTTTTCATTCATGTAGAACCATAGAATCATTTGGCTGCTTTACAGAGGACAGACAATAGTCCCATTTTCTAGGTGGCAACCTAGGCTGAGATACAGGGAAATACCAATTGCTCGTGATCACAGAGTTGACAGAGCTGGGAACAAGAAAGCAGTTTCTTTACTTCCAGTCCAGCACTGAACCAATGATGTGATTGGCTCTTAGTAAATACCAACACAGCTCAATTGCCAGCAAAATATTGCTAGTTGAAGATCATTCTCCATACATTATGAAATACAAGGAGCAACTCTGCTTTACATTTCCTGTTCAAGAAGGGCTGTGGCTTTCTTAAAAGATTCTAATTTTAATGCAGGAAGTGCACAGACATGTAAAAATCAGAATTTGTACTGACAGCAGTTAACGCTCACTCAGTAGTCAGTCTGAATCCATCTACAAAAACAAATGTAGTAGATCATTTAGCTGTAATCAGTTCCAAAGCTCTGCATGGCAAAAAGGCTTTAAGAAATAGTCATTCTGGCCACTCTTTCTCCCCAAAACCAACTGGACCTAAACTGGAATAAAACCTGGGCAGAATGTGAACATACACGACTCTTCCCATCCTGCTCACTAGAGCAGAAATATTTTATAATGCAAAATAAAGACATTTCTCCAGCATTAAAAGTAACTCCAGAAGTCTAAAATCTCAAAGGAATGGAAATCAGCACTGTAATCTAAGCCTCCTGTTTGAAGGAAGCAACAGAGGGAAATTACAATCTTCTAACTTGGAAAAGACTCAGAAGTCAAATGCATTCCAGGACTGAAAAATGCAATGCATTATATTTCTTTAGACTTCTTATTCTGCAGCCTTATCAACTTCTGCTGATCAACAGGAATGTATGGAATGTTAAAGTTAAAGAGTCTTGAGAGAACAGAGGGGGAAAAATGTTTTCTGAAGGACAGAGTGTTTCCTTTTTTCCTTAAAGCCCTGGGTGTGTTATACTGATATAATCCACTGTGATACCTGTGGATTTTCTTCTCGTTTTGGCTTCGGTGCAGCAGGTGGAGTAACTGTACGACTTTCTGTTTGCTTCTCTTCTGCTTCCACATGTGGTTTAATAGTCTGAAAAGGAACAGTGTTTCTCTCATTCAGTGATAAGAATGACTTTTTTTACTTTGACTAATAAAGCAAAACAAATACTTGCACAGATACAGGAGAAAAACAGTTGAAAGCTGGCAGTGTACTAACAAAGACTTAATTGAAGAATCTGACATGAGAGGAATGTTAAATAAAGTGTTTTCCTTTAACAAAGGATGAAACAGCCTTACCACCATTCCATTAACCTATGCAGCCATGCAAGCAATAAAAGTAATTTTAAGAGTTAACTCCATTATAGAAATCACTATACAGTATGAGAAAACTAACAGACACTTTAAGAAAAAGCATCCCATGGAAGACTTCCAGGTCGAAACCATTCTGCATGGCACATGCATTTTGTACTTCTCACTCCTCAGACTTCCTATTTCACAGAATTATGAATGGCTCAAAATCTGTCTCTCTGACTCTCAAGATCTCAGATGTTTCTGAAGCTTTTTTCTTTTCTGAAGTCATAATCTCCTGCAATGGTATCACGAACCCTGCCTGACAATCCTCAGCCCATGGCATAGCTTTTGAGGCTACAAACTCCTGAGGTAAGCTCCAGGGAGGTGAACTTTCCCCCTTTATGATATGGAGAAAATATACAGAAAAATTCATGTATTATTAAACCACCACCATTCTTCTGTATGTTTTTCAACAGTTGAATTGCCAGTCATTATTCAAAGAGCAAACGAATATTGCTGACAGCAAAAGGAACAGGCATCAAAAGTATAGTATTGCAGAAGTACAACTTCAAACCATATGAGTTGCTGGACAACTGTGGAACAGCCTTGAGATACGCAAGAATCCATAAGCAGAACTGAGCATGAGCATATCTTTCATGCACATGATTTCCACAGTCTCCATAGGTGACTTTAAAAGCAGGAGGTACCTTCAAGGCGTATTATTCTATGAAAGATTTATAAATTAAATATATACTACTATTATTTATATAAATAACAGAAATAGTATATGTTATAGATAGTGTATTATACAGTATATAATATTATACTAAGATACAAAAGAGTTAAAAGTGAAACAGAAGATTGCTTTGCTTGAACTGAATGGCAAGGACTCTCAGTTGCAATCCACACTGACTAAAGTAATATTTTATTTTACGAAAGTCTTTTCTGGAGAGAGACTTTAAAACTAAACATCTAGAATTCTCTGCTTCTGAGGGTCTCCTTTCCACTCAGTTAATCCAATTTAGTCATGGGGAATTACCAGTCTTCAGAAGCCAGTGAGACTTATTTTGCCTCCAATCACAAGACTGCAAGATCAAGAAGGAATGGTCATATTTATTGTATTAAATACCTCTAACATTAAATACCCCTAATTTATTGTATTAAATATCCCTAATTTATTGTACTAAATACCCCTAACAATTTTGGGTAATTTTTGCTTTTCACATAGCCGCTCTTTGAAAAACAGAAACACAGAAAATATTTTTCCAGTGTTTCTTAAAGCCCAGCCCTGTGATGTAGCTCGCTTATAAACTACTGAAGTTAGGACAGTAGGGGGAGCATAAAAACACTGAAGCATGAGAAAAAGATTCCAATGGGCTGTATTAAAGAAAATGGTAACTTCTCCCCCAAGAGTTGCAAGTCATTCCATAATTTGCGCTGTTGTTGGAACACGAGTATCTCCAGCGTCCACTGAAAATTCCTCCATGGTTGTCATCCCCTCCACAGGGGCACAGTAAAGCAATAAAGCCAGTAGGTTGCATTAGCTGTACCTGTTTTTCAATGTTTGGTTTGCTGATCTGTACAGTCTGAGGTCCAGCGAGCCTGGTTCCCGGTGCTGCTATCACGATGCTGGTGAGCTGTGCCATAGGGAAGGTTTTGGCTATGGTTGCTGTCTGCCCGTTAACTACACGAACTGGATGTATGGAGTTCTGAGAGTTGGGTAAAGAGGTGGGGGTGAACTTTGTTGTCAACATCACGGGTCTCTGAATAAGTTGAGGAGCTGCAAGCATTGGAGGAGGTGCTGGGGCAATAGGAATGTTATTTTGGGCAACTGGTTAAGGTCGAACCTACAAAAAAAGAAAAGAAAAGAAAAAAAAAAGAGATTTGTATATCAGTATTTCAGATGAACTTCTTTACTAAGTCTTTGAATTCAGCCTGGACAATCTGCAGGTTGCTTGATTTTTTATAGAATGCCATTTTTAGCATAGTGTTCTAAGTACGCTATGAGAAGGGAAAGCCACATCTTCAAAGCTGCTTGCATAAAACCCATCCATAACATTTGCATATGCAGTCACTGTCCCTGAAATGCTATTTGGATGCACAGACGCTTATATTGCATGTTTATTGCCAAATGCTTATCTGTATCTAAAGCAACATACTGGTTTTGCAAGCCAAAAAATTTATAGTAGTATTTACAGGCGCAGCTGAGGCTCTCATGTTAAAAGTGTATCTCAGGACTTTATACTGAGCCTCCAAGAAATCATGAACAGTTGATTATGCCCTGAAAGAAATAATTAAAATTTTCAGTAAATCCCTGATACCTTTCTCAACTCTATATATTATTTAGACTCCTGCACAACCAATCTTGCTAAGCAAAAAAACTGTCAAGATTATAGATTAATCCCTCATTGAAAGTGCTAAAGGCTACAGGTAAATGCAGTCACTACTCTTTTTCTTCTTTCACAAGGAAGAAAAGAGTCACAAGAATCTTCCAGTCCTCCACCACCAATACTTGCTTATTTCTTGCCCATTGTTAACTCTGTACTTATCACACCATTATAGAGAAGTAGAATACATTACTCTGAAAAGAAAGTCTTTTCCTTATTTAATTTCTATTGTCCTATCCACCTTTAATACTCCATAATGCATTTTATCATGGAAAACTAGGTCACATTCCAAGAGATCACCATCCCCAAATCTTAATCAGATACCAACCTATACTTTCCTTTTATCTTTTGTAAAAGATTTAGACTTTTATTCACAGTGCCACGTATTTCTTACAAACGAAACACTTCCTCCAAAATGTTTTTTTTTAAATGAAGAAGCAATCTGTGTCTTTTCCAAACCATGAAAAAAAAGTAAAACACAAGTTTTACTGCTCAGCTGCAAACAGAGGTGACTCTTGCAACACTGAAATACTTGGGAACCATATAGGGACATCTCATTTTCCTTTTTTGCTCATGAGCAGCAAACAACAATTAGAGCAATTTAAGGCCTTGAGTGATGCTTTGATTTTGCTGACACTTGTTCTGTAGGTTCATTTAATTTGATACAAATGGGATCATATATGATCATCATAGGCAAATTTTATAATCCCAGACTCGTGCAGGTTGGGAGGCAGCTCAGGAGGTCTCTAATTCGACCTCCTGCCCAGAGCAGGGCTAACACTAAATGCAGATCAGGTTGCTTAGGGCTTTGTCCAGATAGGTCTTGTAAAATTCCAAGGATGGAGCTTCCACAACATCTCTGGGAAGCCTTTTCCACTGCTAATTGTCCTCAAAGAGAGAACTGTTTCCTTATACACAGTCTAAACCTTCCCTGTTCCAATTTATGATCGCGGTCTGTAATTCTCCTGCCAAGCACCCATGTCTCCATCTTTTTGTTGATTTCCCTGTTAATACTGGAAATAAGACTGATGTTAGGGTGCCCCCAAAACCTCTTCTCCAAACTGAACAAGCCCAGATCCTCAGCCTTCCCTTGCAGGTCATAAATTCCTGCCCTCCCAGCTATCTTACTGGCCTTCCTCCCCTGGATTCATTCAAATTTATCAACTTCTTTCTGCTACCAGGTGGTCTAAAACTGCATGCTGTTTATCAGATCCAGTTTTAAGATTGCTGAGGAAAGGTGGATAATCTCTTCCCTTAATCTGTTGTGGTCCTGTTGGTACAGCCCAATATGCTGCTAGGCTGCTTTGCTGCCAGGGCACATCACTAGTTTAGCTACTGTCAACAAAGACCTTCTAAGCAGTGCTGCTCCCCAGCTAGCCAGTCCCCAGCCTGTACTTATGCCAGGAATTAGCCCATTCCAGGTGCAAGACTTTGCCTTTTC